GTGTAGAAATTACCCAGAACTCTAACCTCTAACCATCCAGAACATAGTCCGGGAGCAAAACAGATTTTTATTTATTTATTTATTTATTGCAAAGGATCAACTGCTCTCAACTCATATGAGGCAGTAATGCTGACAGGGCTTGTTACTCAATCTGTAATGACCAAGGAGCAAAGCTTTGGAATGGCAGGCTAGAGGTTCTGCGCCAAAGCCCACAGTGTTAGTGGGAAGCCCTGCCACTCAGTCTTAGAGGCTGACAGCAGAAGTTGAGCAGAGGGGAGATAGAGCTCAGCAGCAGTTCATTTCACAGCCGAGAGCGTGTGCAGCTGATGACTTTGACGAGTCTAGAATGTTCATACTGCCTCCCCGTAGCTGGAAGCTCTGCCCAGCATTATGGGCAAGACATGGAAGTGCCTACCATGAGCGGTGGCCAGACGACAGAACCACATGTATGGCGAATAGATAGTGGTGACTGTCAGTGTCTGAGGCTTGCAGAAGAGCGTGTCTATCTGTTGCTCTTCTGGAGAAATGGGGTTGAAAGGACTAAGACCTAAAAGAAGGGTCAGCTATTTTATCCTTTCTTATGCTAACAAGTAGAATTTAGACTTGGGTGGAAGTTACAGGGTAGTAAGCCAATCTTGGCTCAGTAAGGTTGAACATGAAAACCTCTTGAAGACGAGTGTTTCTCAGCCGAGTAAGATGGCAAATGGATACAAACCCAGCTGTGTGGAGGCTGACACAGGAGCATTTCAAGTCCGAGTTCAACCCTGGCTGAGTATGGGCCTTTTTCAAAATAGGATGGAAAAGCACTGGGGCGACATCAGTGGTTTCTGGTGCTCGAGGCCCAGGTTTGATGTCTAGCGTGAAAAAACAAAGATACTCAGTTCTGTAAAATGCATTTTTTTTACTATGTTAGAAATTTCCTTGAATTACAACCCCCATGAATAGGTTATATATATATACACACACAGGATCTCATGTAACACAGGCTACCCACAAATTCAGTACATACTTGAGGCTGGACTTGAACTTCTGATCCTCTTGCCTCCTCCATCCCCCTCCCCCTGAACTGGGAATAGGCATGCACCATCAGGCCCTGCCCCCGTATGAATCTGATATTCTACAATTTTCCCCCTTACCTTTGGAGTCCCAGATCCTACAGTTTGAGAAGCATGCATCTCGTTTCCATCTTAACTTGCAAAATCCTACATTCATTGGTTAGGATTCTTTAATATTCCTTTGTTTGTTGCAGTTCTGGAGACCAATACTTAGGGGCTTGCACGCAGGTGCTCTATCGCTGAGCTACATCCCCAGACTAAACAATATTTCCTGCAGGAGAATTTCTAGAGATCCTAGACAATTTGGTATTAATATATAATTAATATAGTATTATATAATAATAATAATGCATCTTTTTTTAAAAAAATATCAATAGCTGTTTGTAGCCATTTTACAACTATGTCATCACCTCTGCTCTCCGATATCTTTGAGATACAACACAGATAAAACAGAAAACATCTTGATTTGATTTACAAAATATTTTACAATGGAAAGGGAAAGTCAACAGTAACTAACTCATGTTGGGCTGTCTTGGTGTCCAGATGGGAGCCTTCTATGCGCATGACCCCTGACCAAGCCCTCAAGCATGCCTGGATTCACGAGCCTCGGAAACTCAAAACGCGGCCCAGGCCGCAGATCCTAAGGAAGTCCAGTCTATGTACATCTTCTGAGATAAGCAAGGACAAGGCGGAAGAGCACTCCAGCAAAAGCAAAACAGGTACAGTCTAAGGAGCCAAGCACGGGTCAAGCCAGCCCTGATGTCTTCATGGAATGTGGGCTAATTCAGCCCTCACCACACCATCATGAGCTTACCATTTCTTGTTTTTTGCGTTTCCTCTTTTGGGAGACCTCATTGTAGCTGGATTCCTCCGTTTGGCCTCTTGCCATTAGGATTTTCCACTTTTCAATGTTTGATTCCTCTTCCCCTTCCTTGTTCTTTCATTATGCTTACCCTTTGTGTTCTATGACCATCTTTTATGTTCTTTTAAAGAAATATTTTATTATTGGTGAGTGTGTGCGCTGGTGGCCACAGAGGGTGTCAGATCCTCAGGAGCTGGAACCTTGCATATGGAGGCTGGGAATGGAGCTCTGGTCCTCTGGCAGAACAGCAAGGGCCCTTGACTGCAATGTTCTCTCCAGCCCCCTTTAATTACTGTAATGATATATATTGGCATAAGACAAATTTTTCTTTGCAGTGTAGCCTAGTAAGACAGATCGCTGGACTCAAGTGGGATTAAATTCTGCTTCTGCAGTACCAGGTGTGGCTCTTGGGCAATTTACTTCTCCGTAAATGACAACAGTGCTTATTCTGTGAGGTTTAGATAAGGATCAAATGGATAAGCACAAGCGCTCAGAATAATGCTGGTCACAGAATGTTCAGTTGTCACAGCTGCTATAAAGCCTAATGCACAGCGGCTAGTACCTGAAGGATTCTCTTCGTCCCTTCCTTCCTGCAGATGAGACCACCAAAGAAACCACAGACACACTAAAAGATGACACCGAGAAGCCCAGTCAGAATTCAGGCAAACAGCAGAGCTCTCTCCAGCACACGGCTGACACAGTCCAGCTGCCTTATCTAGCAGAAACTTCTGGAAAGCCAGAGACCGTTGCTGAGCCAGAGGTGTCCGCAGAACAGTGCACCTCCTCCCCCAAGAGCACGAACATTTTACCGCCCATCAAGTGACCCTCATGGAGGGTGCATCCTGTTCCTTCCCACCATCGATTTGCAGCAGAGAAGGCACTTTGATTGTAAAATACTTCACATTGCTTTTTTAATGCATAAAGGTTTGTAAGAAAAATCAAACTCTCTTCACACGGTGAGTTGGCATGATTCCTCCAGTAAAGGTGTGTGTGTGTGGGGGGGGCTTTACCTGAACATACTTTTTCAGGGTGTATGTTTGTGTAGGGGGCAGTGTCGAATGCTACAGCCTTGTTCACGGGAACCCCAAATAAAATCATAGCTGTTCTTGTCTGTGACTGTCAATCTATGTCACCCAGGATTCTTGTTTTGCTTTGTGTATGTGCATGTGCTTGTATATGTGTGTGTGTTGGTGCACATGGAGGCTAGAGAATAACCTTGGGTGTCATTCTTCTTGCTATCCACATGGTTTCCCAAGACGATCTCTCACTGGCCTGAAACCTGCCAAGTAGGTTGGACCAGTTGGTCACTGAGTAGGGATCTGTCTCTACTTCCCCAGTGATGGGATTACAAGTGTACTCCACCATGCCACCCATTTTAAAATTTATTTTTATTGTGTGTGTATGTGTGTGTGTGTGTGTAAACCTGTGATGTGTGAGCAGGTGCTCAAGGAGTCCAGTAGAGGGCGTCAGATCCCCTGGAGCTGGAGTTGCAGGTGGTTGTGAGCTGTCTGATGTGGGTGCTGGGAATCGAACTCTGGTCCTCTTGAAGAACAAGTCATCTTTGCAGGTCCATGCCTGGCCTTTCCCCACTGGTCCTGGCTATTGAACTCAGGTCCTTATGCTTATGTGGCAAATGCTTTACCAAATGACTTAAGTCCTTGGCCTGGTATCAGTTTATTTGTACAGTTGGGGAACAACTCAGATTCCCTCTCGCCTCCCTTCACTTCCCCCCTTCTGTAGCTAGCTTGTTCTGATTACAGGCTCAGCCTGGAGGTTAAGGGATTACCTACATTCTCTTCAAAGCACAGTCTTCGGTTAGGGACACAGCTTAGCCAGTAGAGTGGTTGCTGCATAACCAGGAGGGCTTGAATGTGGTCCCTAGCACCCAAGTAAAAAGCTGGCTTTGGTAGTGTTTTGATTGGCTAGAACTTAGCCAATTCTGGTTTAGACCCCACCTTCCAACAAGAAACACTGGCTGTATCCTGGTGTAGGAGGTCCTTCTGTCTATGTGTTGCTTTCATTGGTTAATAAAGAACTGCTTTGAGCCTATGGCAGGGAATAACAGAACTAGGCAGGGAAAGCTAGTCTGTATGCTGGGAAAAAGGATGAAGTCAGAGAGACACCTTGAGCCTGCCACTGGAGAATTGATGAACTTCGCTGGTAGGACACGACCTTGGGGTAATACACAGATTAATGGAGATGGGTTAAATTAAGATGTAAGAGTTAGCCAATAAGAAGTTAGAGCTAATGGGCCAAACAGTCATTTAATGAATATAGTTTCCATGTGGTCATTTCGGTTCTGGACAGTCGGGACAAACAAGTGGCCCCCTGCAACAGTATCTTCTAAAATAAAGTAATAAAACAAATGAAAAAAAAAATCTGGGCTAGCAAGATGGCTCAGTGGGTAAGCGATTGCAGCCAGACCTAATGAACACCTTGAGTTTCTTCCTTACCTTCCAGACCTCTCACAGTAGAAGAAGAGAACTGATCTCCTCTGATCTCCACACCTGGGCTGTGGTAGGCATATCTTGCCCCAAATAAAGACATCCATGTAGTTTAGATTGGAACTGGATATGAGGTGGAGGCTCACCTTAAACTACCAAACCTACGGCCTCCACTGACCAAGTGCGAGCATTGCAGGCCTGAACTACCATCCACCACTGAGAACTCAGCTGTAGACCAGTGTTTTCCTTTTTGCCACTGGGAAAAAGGATTGCACTGGCTATGTCTACCACACCCACAGCCCCTGGAGCTGCTTCAGCTCTATCTTGAACTATGGGTACAGTTGGAGGTGGGCAGTGGTCCCACAGTTGTGCAGAGTGGACATGGGGCCATACCCACAAACCACAATGTGAAGATTTTGACAGACTGTTAGAAACTGTTTTCTGGTTGTCATGGTTCTGAAGGATGGAAACAAAATAAAATAACCCGATTGTGGCTGATTTTAAGGGAGCAGTTTAATCAGCTCACAGCCAGGGCAGCAGAGGGAACTGAGTGGGCCACTGGGCCATTCTGCCATCTGTCCCTGCCCTCAGAGAGGGTGCAGCTTTACTTTTCAAATAAAAGGAAGCCAAACTTGTGCAGCCCTTTAATTGTAATCTTTTAATTTATGTCCTTGCTTGCATGGACAAGAAAATCTGCAAAATCCAGTGAGTAGCGTTAGATGGTGCATGTGGTGTGGGTGGTGTGAAGGGAACTTTAGGGCTCTGTGTGGCAGGGAGGGGAGCTGAGGGAGTGAGGGCATGGCCCACTGCCGGAACACCGGGTAGGCTCCAATCACAGGTTTGCCATCAGCCAGTCCAGCAGCTGCAGTCGCGTGACGTTTCCCACCGCCTCATCCAGCTGTCGCTCCTTCTCATACCTCAACACCGACTGCAGAACCTCCCCGACACTGCGGCCTTTCTCCACAGCAGCGGCCGAGAGCTGAAGCAGCTGTGGAGAGCAGAGAGAAAGGTGATGGAGGAGTAGAAGACCCCAAAACAGGCCGGAAGGAACCTGCTTGGTTGCAACCAAGAAGCCATCCGATGGGGAAAATGAACAAACTCTCAGGGACCCATGCAGCTAAGGCTGGCCCTAAGCTGTTGATCCTCCCGCCTCCACCTCCCAAGTGCTAGGATTTTAGGCATGAGCCACCTTGCTCCAAACCAATGGATTTTAATTGTTACGGTTCATGGACTGTAGCCAGGGCCTTGCGCATGCTTAGCTCTTAGCCCCAGCCCAAGACGACTTTAGCTACAGCTGCTGATCTCATCACCCACAACACACACAAGTGTGTGTTGATCTCATCACCCACATCACACACAACACACACAAATATACCCCGTTTGTGATATGGAATGTGATCTCTCACTGAGACAAATCTTCCCACTTTCTCCTTGAAAATGGTGCTTCAAAAGCGAACTGCTCTTGTTCCCCCAATAGTTCTAATGGTTTAGGCTCACCCTAATATAAAAGTCTCCATTTGTGATAGCTTATATTGATTGCTAACTAGACAAGATCTACAATCACTTTGAAATCAAACTTCCAGGTGAGATGAGGGGTTTTCTAGATTAGGGTAATTGACGCATAAAGACCCACCCTGAACGTGGGCGGCACTATTCCACAGCCTACAGTTTCAGCATATAAAGAAGGCTAGCTAAGTGCACACATTCATCTCCTCCTACTTCCACTGTGGAATGCAATCCTCCATACGAAGTCATGGCAGCAGATCAGTCTTGTGATCAGTCACATGGACTCCACAATGACGAAGCCAGAGGGAGATGAATGCTTGTGCTGGTCTGTCACATGGCCTCCACAGTGATAAAGCAGAGGGAGGTGTTGGATGTGATGATACTTGTTTAAAATCCAGGACTCAAAAGGTGGAGGCAGGAGGATCTCTTTAAGTTTGAGGCAGCATGTTCTATAAAGTGAGTTCCGGGTTAGTCAGGGCAACACACTTCAGAAAACCAAAGACTAAAACAAGCCAGCCTGGCAGCATAGGCCTGTGACCAGCCTAGCCGCATAGGCCTGTGACCAGCCTAGCCGCATAGGCCTGTCAGGACTTTTGGAAGTTCAAGGCCAGTGTGGGCCACAGAGTGAGTGGAGAGCCAGCCTGAGGACCTCAGCCTCCATCTCAGGTGAAAATATGCTGGGGTGGGCAGTGACCTCGCATGTGACATGGGGTTGTCCCAGTTCAGGGGCAGGGCAAGATTTCAGCAAAGAAATAAGATGTAAAAAGGAGAATCAAATGGTAATGTTAGGACTAAAATTACATTAAACCCATAAAATAAGAGGTATCAAATGGAGGAGAGCACAGAAGGAAGACAATGGAAGACGTGATAAGCAGAGCTCGGGCTGTGGACACGACTCAGAAGAGCCAGCATCCCTACCCCGAGAATCCCAGGGGAGAGGAGAGGGGTGCGGTGTGGAAGAGCGTCTGCAGGACCACAGTCAAAAGCTTCCTCAGCTTACTTCACACCAAGAAACCCAGCTTATTTAAACATAACAAAATCCACCCCAGAACCTATCACAGAGCACTCAAAACTTTGTTTTCACAAGACAAGGGTCTTATTTGTAGCCCAGGTGGGCTGTAACTCACGGCAGTCCTCCTGAGTGCTGGGATTATGGTCATCACCGTGCTCAGTCCTTAAAAAGCAAGTTTGGGCCTGTAAACGTGGCTGCTCTTCTAGAGAACCTGCATTCCATTCCCAGCACCCACATAAGGTAGCTCATAATAACTTGTAACTCCAGTTCCGGGGTATCCAGTGCCCTAGTCTAGCCTCCACAGGCATACACTCACATACATACACATACATTGTAAATAAAAAATTACTTATAGAAAGATATTTAAATATATATTTTCGAACTGGTGATTGAACTGAGGGCCTGGCATATACTGGGCAAACACCACCACCACCACTGTGCAACATCCCTGGAGCAGAAAACACTTCTGAGAGCAGCCAGAGGACAGTACAGCACCACTTACGGAGAAGCGCAACTCAAATCCACTGCATTGTTTTCAATCAGAGTCAGAAGGGGGATATATAGGAAATGTTGATGAGAGGACTCAGAGATTAAAGCATTAACCATGTAAGAAAGAGGACCAGAGTTTGGGTCCCCAGGACCCACATAAATGTTACATGGGTGTGATGGCCTGCCTGCAATTCCAGCTTCAGAAGACATTGGTAAGGTGTTTGAGAACAGGATCAAACCAGCTAGTTATAACAGTGTCTCAGCAAGCTCTGGATTTGATTCAGAAACCCTACCTCCAAGAATTAAGTAGAAGAGGAATCAAGAAAGAATTCCAATTATCAACCTCAGGTTTCCACAAACATTCTACACATGTACTGTACCCATACACATGCACCCTCATGTGTAAACTCACACAAATACACATGAGGAAAAAAGAAAAAAAAAAAGACCACGTAAACAGAAGGGAAAGGACAAACCAGAACTCTTCATCCAGCAGAATATATCTCAGGAATGACATTCAAATAAAAACATATTCATAGAGTATTTGCCTAGTGTGGGCCATGCCCAGGGTTTAATCTCTAGTACAAAAGAGACCATGATATTCTCAGATTAAAGCGACTAAGAGAACTCATTACCAGCAAATGAGTTCTAGGAGAATTACTCAAGGAAGTTCTGTGAAGGACCACATTAGCTGAAGGCAACCGGAAGCCAAGCAAGTAGCTCTCAGCGCAAATGGGTGACTGTTTTTTAAGTCCTGTGGAGTTAACACAGATGCCTGAGCTACATAGTAAACCTTTAAAAACAAAATAAAACAAAAACCCAACCAAGACACCTCTTAAAATATCACCAGAGTAGAGAAATTAAAGCGGAACATAGGAAAATGTTCAAATAAACCAAAAGGAGGCAGAAAAAGAAAAACGAGAAGGAATGTTAGACAAGGACTGACCCAAATGTATGCTGTGCACAGAATCCACACTTCAGATCTGATGAGGAAGTTGCAAGTAAAACTACAGGAAAAAAATGTAACACACAGTTGACTCTAGCACCGTGATCAGCTGACCTCTTGGTGAAGGCACCAGAAAATTCACAGGGATCAGACACCCACAGGCTTACCAACAGTAAGTCAGAAACACCCACATTTCCTCCCATGAAGGAATAAATTTGGTTTCCTTCCTGACAGGTATGCAAGTTAACTCAAAGTAGACCACCCATAGGTGGCGCCGTAGCTCAGTGGTAGAGTACCTGCTCAGCATGTACAGGGCTGTGCATTTAATCCCCTCCCCTTCCCACTACCACACCAAGAAAAACAAAACAAAACAAAACAAAAAAAAAACAACGAGCAATGAGCCCACAGCAGCACCCATAAAAACACACAGATACAAGAGCAAAGGGCCCACATCATTTGTGCACTGTAAAGATTTGTCACTCACACCGGTTTAATAAAATGCTGATTGGCCAGTAGCCAGGCAGGAACTAGAGGTGGGGCGACTAGACTAGGAGAATTCTGGGAAGAAGAAAGGCAGAGAGGCAGTCGTCAGCCAGAAGCAGAGGAAGTAAGATGAAAATGTTTTACTGAGAAAAGGTACCAAGCCACATGGCTAAACATAGGTAAGAATTATGGGTTAATTTAAGTTGTAAGAACTAGTTAGTAATAAGCCTGAACCAATAGACCAAACAGTTTATAATTAATATAAGCCTCTGTGTGTTTTTTTTGGGACTGAACAGCTGCGGGACTACGTGGGACGGAAACTTTCATTTACAATCAATACACCCGACACAAGAGCAAAGAGCCCACATCAGCATACACAAGAACACAAGGAGAAAAGTTCATGTGACCATGGGATGGGTCAGGTTAGTCAGCACTGTTCCCTCCACAGGCTCACAATTCTTTGCTGTAAAGCCTGCATGGGCTTTATAGGGTGCTTAATTCTGTCCTTGGTCTTCTGCTTCACTAGCAACTGTCTTCCTTACTGTGACAGCCAAATGTCTCCAGACTTTGGCAAATGTCCCCTGGGGATAAAACTGCATGCAGCCAAGAAGCACTGAAAAGCGTTGGGATAGAATGCCTTGTGTAGTATGTGAGGCCCTAGGTTTAATCCAAACAGACAAAGACAAAGAAAAGAAACACTAGTTGGGCAGAAACTATTCATATTTTTAGATATAACACAAAGAGAACACAGTTTTAGTACTCTGAGGTAGAGGCAGGAGGATCAGAAGTCCAAAGTCATCCTTAGCTACATATGTAAGTCTGAGGCTGACATGAAGACAAGAAACACACAAATATATAATATGTATATATTATATATATATATGCAAAGACAAAATAAATAATACGTATATATATTTATCAGATAATTCACCATTAAATATTTGTTTTTCAAAAGACTCTCTTCTACACAAAGCAAATATTTGAGAGTTGTGTCTTACAAAGGATTTGTTTCTAGAACATATAGAGACCTTTGGGCGGAGGATGTGTAGCTCAGAAGTGTTTGTAGGCAGTAGCTCAGTCAGTAGGTAGTGTTTTCCCACTATGCACGAGGCCCTGAGTTCAGATCCTACCACCACATAAACTGGGCATGGTGCCACATACCTGTAATTCAAACACTGGAACCTAATACATACTAGGTAGGAGGATCAGAGGCTCAAGGTCATCCTCAGCCTGGGGTACATGAGATTCTGTCTTAAAAACCAGGCAAACTAGCCAGGCAGTGGTGGCACACGCCTTTAATCCCAGCATTCAGGAGGCAGAGGCAGGAGGATCTCTGAGAGTTCAGGGGCAGCCTAGTCTACAGAGTGAGTTTGTTACACAAAGAAATCATGTCTCAAAAAGCAAAACAAGGGGACTGGAGAGATGGCTCAGTGGTTATTGCCTGCTCTTCCAAAGGTCCTGAGTTCAATTCCCGGCAACCACATGGTGGCTCACAACCATCTGTAATGAGGTCTGGTGCCCTCTTCTGGCCTGCAGGCATACACACGGACAGAATATTGTATACATAATAAGTAATAATAAATATTTTAAAAAGCAAAACAAAACAAACAACAATAACAACAAAAATAGGCAAACAAACCTTTTCAATGCCTAACAAGAGAAAAACAACTCAACCAGAATGTGGGCACGACATACAGGCAATTGATTGCAGCAGGGAATCTACACAAATGGATTGAATTGTTGCACACTGGATTATGTTCAACATTTTTAGTCATCTGAATTTATGTTTATCAAATCAGTTCACAATGATCTATCACTATGATTTCTATAATAAGATCATGTTGAGGATGGAAGAAGTAAAAATCCACCTGAATGGCGAATGAGACCATAAAATGAGATGGCTACTTTAGAAATCTGTCTCACCATTATTATTACTATTATTATTATTATTATTATTATTATTATTATTTGATGTGGGGTTTCCCTCTGTGTGCTGTGATTACCATTAATGAATAAAGAACTGCTTTGAGCCTATAGTAGAGCAGGGCGGGGTAGAGCAGAGCTAGGCGGGGAGGACTGGACTGAATGCTGGGAGGAAGAAGGGCGGAGTCAGAGAAAAGCCATGTAGCCCAGGCCACCAGAGTCTTGCCACAGCCACGTGGCAATACACAGATTACTAAAAATGGGTTAAATTAAGATGTACAAGTTAGCCAATAAGAAAGAGCTAATGGGCCAAACAGTGTTTTAAATAATATAGCGTCTGTGTGGTTATTTTGGTTCTGGGCAACCACGACGAACAAGCCATCCCTCCTCACTTCTTCTTATTATTTTTTTTTTTAATTCAGTGTCTCAAAACACAGCCCAGGATAGTCTCCAGCTCACTATGTAGCTCATCCTCCTGCCTTAGTCTCTCAAGTGCTGGGTTATAAGTATGCTACCTAAAACACCGATAGACAAGGAGTCTTCAGTCTTAGGAGATATTTTAAAATTCATAAGACTACAATAAATAGAGTCTGCCATTGGCCTAAGAATTGATAGATGGACAATTCAATGGCACAGAATAGAAAGTTCAGAAAGAATTAAGTGGAAGCCAGTGTGGAGGGGTGGGGGTGGAACTCAGACAGTTGATGACAACAGAAATCTGTCTCCCTACCTTTCACTTTACACATGAAAGTATATAAAAAGATCAAAGCCATAAATATTTTAAAGCACTAAAAGAAAACCCAAAGCAAAATCCAGGAAATAGAAGAAGAAAAACTATATTAGACTAAATCCCATATGGTGAAATCAAACAAACTCTAAACACCAATACATAACCTAATGGCACTGCATGGTGGGTGTAATCCACCTGTAAACCTGTCATCCCAGCACTCAGGAGGCTGAGTCAGCAGGGTCTCCAGCTTGAGACCAGTCTGGGCTACATAGTGAGTCTAAGGCCCTCTTGAGCTATGTAGTAAGACTCTGTCTCAACAAATTAGAGAGCAAAGCACAAGCAAAAGTATGAAAACTCTTATGTTGGAGAATGCCTACCTTCACATATGTGCATCTATGTAAGTTATATCATATGTGTGCATGGGCATTCTATCATATTTATGTGTGCATGTAAAATATATAATATATATGCATGCAAATTATCCCATGTGTATGTGCTGCATGTATATGTCACTTATATATGCATATAACCACTTGTGCTAAAAGACATATAGATTAGCTCTACATGTATGAACATATGTATTTCTAGAAGAACACATTAGAAACAGATGAGCTGCTTTTTCTGCAGCGAGAGCAACACAGAAGTGATCTGATGAGGAGACATCCTTTATTTTCAGTGTTCATCCTTTTTAAATTTGGGGTCTGATCTTGCAGCCACATGACATATTAAAAATAAATTCTATAGTGCTGAAGGCAATTGGGTTCCTGGGCAATAGTATGAGCCATTCAACCGTCCTAACACGAAGAAGTCACACTGCTGACCATTCCTTTACTTTCCCTTCAATAAAGCAATAGGTGGATATATTTTTCTTCAGAATTAACAAAGCTATGCAAAGGGCCTATGAGTCTATTTTCCTATTTAGATGAATGCATTACAGAATTCTAGTTCAAAATCCACCAGCAAAATATATTCTGTATCTTACGTGGGAAGGGTATAACAGAGAAATGGTTACAGAACAGAAGCCTCTTCGCACACCGCAAATGGAGGTCGTGCTTAGTTTTACCTTGTTTATTAGTTTAAAATGTTTGCCAGAATGTAGTCTCCCTTCTTCCTGCTGGTCACCTGATGGGCCAAAGTAACTGTGCTGTATAGACCAGCAACACTGAAGGACAGAGTTTGCCAGGGTCCCTGTGGGACAGGCCTAGTGTCGAAGCTAGAAGGTGACAGTTGACTCTGCATTTTCTGGCTACTAAACAACCTGGTAACTCGGTTACTAAGGCTATGCACGCACATCAGCTCCATATTTTGTTAAAGATGAAGATTGTCCTAATAGGTCAGGAAGGAGGCTTAAGCACCTGCACTACTTATTGACTCCCAGAGGCTGCCAGTGAGGATGCTCCACACATCCCATACATCCACTGAGTAACAACTGTAGCCTCGCTAAGACTGGAAGTACTGTCTACTCTGAAGTCAAACTGCACTGTTCCTTACTTAGGATTGATACAATCTAATCTACATGCTGTGTAATTCTGCCTCTTCCCAGTCATTAGATAAGCCCAGTTTCAGGGGCGATTAATGCAACTTGTTAAAAGAGAAAACCCTTTGTCTCCATGTCTTCTGGTTTCTAAATATATTTTGGTCTGGTGCTGAAGGTTGAATACTGGAAAAAGATCTTAGGGATCTAGTTTTCCCAGAAAGAGCTACCCTACAATATGTAAATATTTTGATATAGAGCCCTACTGGGAGATACTTAGATCAAAATATCAGGGTCTTAAATGTCCTAGTCTGGAGGCTACCATGTCTCCACAACAAAGCCCAGGTGATGAGTAGGAAGTACTCTGTGTTGGATGCGCGCTGGCTCTGAAGGGATGGACAACCCCACTTCTCCAATCACAGCAGTCGTTAACCCCGTTCCACCAAAGACAAACAGCTCTGACCCTTAGGGGATGGCTGCATTTTTGTCAAATCTGTATTCCTAAATTTGGATTGATGACAAAAGCATCTACAAGGGGTTTTGGCTCTTAGCCCCTTAACTGGGACAACCAATCAGAATGATCCTTTAATCAGAGAAAGTGGGTTCTCACAGAAGCCCCTGGCATGGGCACGACAGATGGCTAAATGCTCTTCCTGTTATCTGTGGCAAAGCATCGACACTATGCAGTTCTGGTGTTGACTCAGTGCCTAGGGTCAGAATGAGAGGGCTGCAGGGTTTTGAAAAAATCTGATGTAGCATCAGGGTGGCCCCATCTCGAAGATTAGTCAGCCACAGTGCTTTTGGTTGAAGAAGTTGCTAAGATATTTGGGGGCAACCACTAGAAGTCCTAAAAGCCCACCAGATAAAGGTCACACTAAATAAAAGTAACGTAGTTGACTGGAAATACACAAATGAAACATCAGATAACCCTCCTACAAGTCCAGAAGGAAATGTTACAATATGTGGTACCCTACATCCTTCCTCACTCACATCAGTGGTACACTATATCCTGCCTCATTCACATCAGTGGAAACTTTTCCTGATCTGCTACTTGTGTACTAAGATCGTGTTCTGCACCTGTCCAGCTGGGCTGCCTTCAGTGACCACGTCCTGGATCTTCCAGAGGAGGATGGTTTGCTGAAGGGAATTGTTAGGTTCTAAGTGGAGAATGTGAGGCTCTGCCAGCGAGCAGTAACTGAGCCTTCCTCAATTACTCTCGTCTACCTTGGCCCCAAAGGCCAAACTAATAGCCCTAATAAGGGGGCTCACTTTCAAGAAAGGAAAATTGATTAATATCTACTATGATTTGAAGAATGCCTTTGTGGTCTATGTGATTGCTCATGCAGCCATCTGGCATACAACAACTCACCCACAGTTTATGAGTAATAGATTCTAAGTCTATGAGACACTCTCCAACTCTCAATACCACACTGTACAACTTCACTGCACCATTTGTATTTAAAAAAACAAAACAAAACACTACACTGGGAACTGGAAAGAGATGAGGGCTCAGTCTATAAATCCTACTAACTCCTTTCCCCGTGTTCTGGAGCAGCGGCATGTCTAGATACACTCACAATAACCATTCTTCATATATATATACCTTATTGGTAACGGTACTGATTGCATAACTCTGTAAGAGTAAAGGTTTTTTGTTACCATACAATCACATTAAAGGCTCCCATGCCATTTTCTGCAATTCAATCTTCTTATCCTTGTCACCAGCACCTCCCAAGCTTCTCACAGTGGTACCTCTTTCTCCTCCAGTATGCACAGAAGATAATTTCCTTGGAAACCACCTCTTTTCTGTTGGGCCTCAGGGAATACAGAATCTCTCCATCTCACCTAAAACTTTAACATATCTATATCTCATAAATATGTTTGGATCGAAGAGCCAACACTGCTGTAAGATTACATAGTGTTGGACACTTGCTATGTGGAACAATGGTGTTTCCATCCCTCCTCAGAGATGGTGAGGCTGATGTACTGCTGCCTCCACCACACCAAGTCTCCTGGAGAATCTTCATTTTTGCTGATGGTACCAATAAATTTGGAAAATAGAAAACACCGATTTTCCTTCTGGCCTCTCTCAGTGTGTCTCTGATTGGTCACGATCTCATCTCGCTTTGCTCTTACCTCTGCCGAGAGGCATCATCACCTTGTCGGCTTCTCCCCTTCCTACAGCCGGGTTCCCATTCAGAAAACCACACAGACTGCAGAACCCAAGCTAACACACGGACAAGCCTTCTGGCTTTGCTTTCTTACCTTCTCCTGGATCCCTTCATCATCGCCAGCAAAGTACAAGATGGGGACGTTGAGCTCAGAGGCAGCTACCCACTGCAGGACGGCTTGGAGCTGCTTGTTCTGAATGGTGTCAGCCAGGTTGTGGTTGCTGACGATCACCTTGGGTATTTCACATCCCTCGGGTGGCTGTCCTGACAAACCTCTCAGTTCGTTATGGATGGCTAGATAGGCATTCTGCAGGAGGGCTTCAGCTGTTCCGGTGCCCTTGACTGGTAGGCACTCATACAGGTTGTCTGGGAAGGCAGAATTTGGCCGGCTGGCATCCCCACACTTTTCCTCTCCCAGCTCTGACAAGGGAGAGTCACAGGACTTGGCAATAATGAGGCACAACTTCATCACAGAGTCCATCAGGTGTTCCATCATCTGCCCATTCATGCAGCCATCGAGCTGGTTGGCGACCATCTTGGTGAGCCCAGATAAGGCACCGTTAGTCTCCTCCTCCTCCTCCTCTTCCTCACAGGCAGGAGGGGTCACAGGCCTTTCACAGTGATTGATCTCTTCTTCCTTAACGTTCTGTGCCTTGGATTCACAATTACGCTTACTCTTGAATATGGTCTCACGGAGTAAGTTCCGGATAAAATTGAAGATGACACTCATCAGATCCTTCTTCTCTGTCTGTTCTTGGTCACATATCTTATGAGGAGACTTAAGTCTGGACTCGTCGTGCGCAGGCGCTGCCTGCGGCTTGGTGGCGGGGAAGTTGGTGCTGGCAGCAGCTTCCAGGAAGCTCTGAGCATCCATTCTTCCTCCCTGGGCCAGGTGGTACTGAATCAGAAGTAGGGCTGACACAATTAGGTCCTTGGCCCAGGAATCTGATTCACACATAAAATTTTCAAAAGTCTCTGGTTGCTGTGGAGGAGGGCTTAAGTCACAAGGATCTGGAACCTCAAAGGAAACCTCTTGCTGAGGGTGACCCTGTTTGGCAGCATTGTCGACACTGGGGGGCTTACAGTCTTTCTGATGAGTTTTGTGCCACATGGTCAGCCCCTCCTTGATGATGTGCTCGCCCAGAGTTTCCGCACAGCTCTTCTCTGCCTCTGGCATGCACGCAGAAAACAGACTCTCCCTCAGCTTTGCTTCGGATTTCATCGCAAAGTTCATGTTGGGTTGCCTAGGGTCACCAGGCCGGGATTTCATGGAGATAAGGGAGTAGCTCTCGGACTTGTCCCTGGCTTTCCTTATGTTCTCAGGGAATTTCTTGGCAATCATTACATTGTACAGCTTACCCAGCATGGCATCCATGATATCTGTGGCCTTTTGGCTTCCAGAAGAAAAAAAACTTCGTTTCACAGCTGAGACGAAGTCTGTGTCAGTCATGAGGCTTCCTGTGACATTGTGGAGGTTCTTCATGAACGAGTCGATAAGATCGGAGACGACCTCTTTGGCGTGCTTGATCAATACCTTCTTCAGCAGAATGGTGGCGATGGTGGTGTCTTTCACCTGGATCCTCAGGGTCTTCATGATGGAGACCATCATGTCGGACACCACACTGTTGGCATAGGTCATGATCCCTTGACTGACAGAGTTTGTATAGTCGTCAGGCCTGTCCTGGCCCCTGAACAGCTTTCTCTCTCCAGGTAAGGACCTTCCACCGTCCTTGGCATCCCCAGCATTCCGAGATTCAAACACTTCCTTATAGAAGAAAGACTTCTTAGAACCAGGCTTGTCGTCTGGGCACTTACCATCCTTGGTGCTCTCCTTGATCTTCAAAGTGCTTTTGTATCTTAGACCAGGGCTCTGCACTGACCCCAACGCTCTGTCTCCAGAGCCCGGGGCTTTGTCACCAGCAATGTTCTTGGAACACGCAGCGACAGTCTCATTCACCAGCTCGGAGGCTACTGTACTCAGGCTCTTGTGGGGTGTGGGCTCATCCCCCATAAAGAATGACTGATGGACACATTTATTTTCAGAGCCATGGATCTTCTCATTGATCTCCTTTCGGGCCATGGCTATCACTAGGTTTGTGAGGCGGTTGGCATAGAAGGAAACTTCATCTATGGAACTCCCATGACCAACTTGGGCCATGGGGCCCGAGGAAGGGTTTTCCTTGTGTGTCATCTCAAAATGCAATCTCCCCGGATTGCCCCTGTTGGTGGTATTGTAGTAGTCGACACAGAAACCTTTGCGTTGGTCTCCTGGGATGGCCACTTCTTCCCCAAATGATGACTCTCCAGGCTTGAACCTCGAGTCCTGGAACCCTGCTGTACTTTTCTCCAGGTCTTTGCGGAGCCAGCTGAGCACTCGGACAGGATCCGTTGATGCATCCTGAAAAGCAGACATGGTTTCACCCAGTTGTAGCACAGCAAAGTTATGGGGCGTTCAGGACAGCCAAGAAGTCCAGCCTCCCCAGCTGGCTCCAGCATCACAATAAAAGGAACCCACGTTTACTGAGCAGTCACGATACTATCAGACACTGAGGATTTTAAGGCTACCATCCCATTTAAATTACTTTCACAATATACCCACGTGCTAATTCTCTTGCTTTCTTCATTTTACAAGGGATAGAATTAGAAAGAACTGAGAGATTAAGTTAGTGAGCTGTTCGAAATTATAACTTTAATCTGTGATGAAGCTGGAATTCTAACCAGCCATCAGCTACTACATAACGCTGCTTCTACTGCGACTACCAGCGACATTCCTACCTGAACTGAGCATCTACCAGCGACATTCCTACCTGAACTGAGCTGCGACGGATGCTCATCACTGCCTTCTCAGATCTATCTGTTCTGTTGTTTTTCATCTTTTCTTTTTTGAGACAGTTTCTCTGTGTAGACCTGACTATCCTCAAAGAGAGACCTTCCCCACTCCCTCCTGTGCCACCCTCACCCAGCTATCTGTTGTTTTTAAATTTATGTCTTTTACTAGAAGTAGGTTCAGAAAAATGGGAAAGTGTATCTAATTATTTGATACAGCAAAATCTTGACCTGCACGCATGCACGCGCGCGCACACACACACTTATATATCAACTCACTGTAATCTATATGTGGCAAAACTTTAAATTCAAACATAGTACCATGTACATATTTATGCTTTTTTCCTATCAAATGTAAAGAATTCTGTCAATCTAGGAATGACTTCAAATATGGCCCATTTTTAAAAGAATAGTGCTTTGCTATAAAGTTGCTAATATGTCATAATAGTTTATTATGAAAGTCAAAGTTACCAGCTACCGGGCTGGGGATGGCTCAGTGTTCAGAGCACTAGCTGCTTATAGAGAACCTGGGTTGGATTCCCAGCACCTTTGATGGTCACAACTGTCTCTAACTTTGGTTCTAGAGGATCCCTCTTCTGGCCTCTACAGGCAGCAGGCACATGCTAGGTACACAGACAAAACACCCATATGCATGTAATATATAATGACATGAAATAAAACAACATAAAGTACTTAAAAAGTTACTGGTTGCTATTTGTTTCTATAGCCGTAATTTAAAAAGTTTTTAAAATTATTTTTTGTGGGCATGCATGTATGTATGTGTGTGTATGTACATGCACATGCGTCCCGGCAGGGGCCAGAAGAGGTATCAGACCTAAGTGTGCTCAGACCACTTCTCAGACTTGACTTCATCTCAGGATGGCAAATAATGGAGGCCTTTTCAAGCCCATTCTGGCAGGGCTCTTTTTAGCCATTGTCACAGTGGAGGAAAGGATGAGGCTGCTCGTGAGCACAGCCCAGACGCTCCTAACCAGTGCCGCTGAAGAAGGAGCCCTTACCATTTTCCAGTCCTGGTGTTGGTAGTCTCCAGGTGAATACACATCAACTTTGCATACGCCATTTTGGCTTTGTAACCAGTCAACCCTATCCGCCATCTGGTAATATTTAAAAAAAGAAAAAAGAAAAAAAAAAAAGAGAGAGAAGTTATCCAAAGGTTACATGAACAGGAGAAATAAAGAGAACGGCAGAGATGTAAGAAGCAGGAGCCACGCCTTCCACAGAGACCTGTAAAAGGGCTGCTTGGCCCACTCAAGCAGTCTTCTTCAGCCTCAGCTCTCACTCGCACCCACCTTCTCAAACGTGTATCTCTATGGATGGGCTGACGGGACCGTGCCATTCATGCTGACTGTACGGCACAGAAACGGACCTGTCGGCTGCCCTACTTTGTTCCCTACCATCCCCTTCCTGCCCGATTTTCAGTACACACTCCAAACTAAATGTGACCAAATGGATTGCTTTACTTTTTCCTTACCTGTTCTATGTGAACTAATTTTAAAAACAGAAACTTTGCTTTTCATCCACTTCTAGAGCTCTGACTTACACTAGTAATCTTCCTTGAGATCATTCTCTCTCCAGTAAGTTAACGATGCTGGGAGATTCTCAGATTCCCTGGTTTAGGCTCCAGGATGCAATGGTGACTTGGCTAATGTATCCTTTCACGGCCTCTTTACACTTTGCTCTGTCCTCTCATTTCAGTGGCGCCACCAGCTGCCCGGGCCTCTCAGCGGTGGCATCACCAGCTGCCCGGGCCTCTCAGCGGTGGCATCACCAGCTGCCCAGTCCTCTCAGTGGTGGCGCCACCAGGTGCCCAGTCCTCTCAGCGGTGGCGCCACCAGCTGCCCAGTCCTCTCAGCAGGTGCCACCAGCTGTCTGATCTCACTTCAGAGGTGGCTTCACCAGCCCCGGTCCTCTGGGTTAGAGAGCTGAGAATCATTTTGCCTGTATCCTCTATGTAAGACACCTGCCCTCACCTCCTGCAAATTCTTTCTTCTACCACCAGCCGTCAGCTGTTTTCTTACACTTGCTGCTTTCACTGTCTCCCTCAGAATTGTTCATCCAAATCCTCTTTCGGCCTCTGTCTTTACTTTCATCTAGTCTTGAAAACTTTGAAACTGTAGCCAAGTACCACAGTGACTTAGGTATCCTGCTGTCAACCTAAAGTGGCAAGAAGGGTCTTTTTTGCCCTCACTTTCTTTTGCTTTGCCCAGCTTCCTCTTCTAGGTTCCACGCTGAAAATCCCCTAGCTAATTACAAACTCGGTTCCCATCTATACCTCTCAATGGTAAGATGAAATACTCCCCCCCCCCCCCCAGTATCCTGACAGTCTCCTGAAACAGACATCTGGCTGAGGTGGGGGCATGCACCCTTGCTCAAAATGAAGACAAACAGAGATCAAAGGCACACCAAACACATGCGCAATAAAAGCTGAAAAATCAATGAAAAGCAAGGACTGCTGGGATGGCTCCTACAGGTAAAGGTGTCTACTGCCAACTCCCATGACCTGAACTGGACCCCTGAAGTTCACATGCCGTAAGGAAAATTGACCCCCACAAGCTATCTTCTGGTTGTTACACAAGCACCACGGCAAGTGTGCATCTGTCTCGCCAGCACACACACGGTAAGTAAAAATGTCCAAAGAAAAAAATTAAAAGTAATGATGCTTACATATATATGAGCATATTGCTCTTGTTTTGAATATTATGGATAATTATTAAAGGAAAATCAAAATATAAAATCTCTCAGAGCAATTTTCTGTTCTCATAAAGATTCTTATTTTCACATTCTACTGTCTCTGATTATTGAGCTAGGAAAATCATTTCTGTATTCCTCCAGGTAACAGAGATTATTTGAGTAAAGTGGATTTTCCACAATGAGGAACTATAGTGATATTTTATTTATGTTTTAATAACGCTTGTCTGAAGATCAGAAGATAAAACTGAATCACTAGAGGCCAGGCAGTGGTGTCACACTTTTAATCCCAGGATTTGGGAGTTCAAGGCCACCCTGGGCTACACAAGATCAATGCAGAAACAGATCCAGTTGGTGGTGGCTCACACCTTTAATCCCAGTACTAGGGAGTCACACACCTTTAATCCCAGTACTAGGGAGTCACATGCCTTTAATCCCAGTACT